TTCAGGTTCTAGCAAAGAAGGAAGGCGAACAAATACATTAACAAATACATTAACTAACCAAACTGCTGTTATGTGGGGCATGGACTGATGGGCAGGAAACCAGTATTTTCATTACACAGTAAGTTAATATGGGACAAGAACGAGTCACAAGAAAATTGTTCCAATATGCGGCATGGCTGACCTCTGGCTCTTCAGAGCAGAGCCTCTGCAAGGAACAAATCCTTCACTTCTTGTTCGATTGTGCACATCATCTGGAAATAAACACTTCTCACAAAAAACCATTTCAGTTAAAGCTTTATTCTTCAAACCATAATGTATGCCTGTGTATATACTGAATAAAAAGGTTTCTCAGGTCATTTACCTTTGCTAAAATGCCATTTTGACCAATTAGGTAAGTATGATAAAAAAGATACGTTTTTTAATTTCAATTTGTACGGTGACGGTAAAGTGGCTCTGGTGGTAGTTAACTTTGGATTGTATTAAGCTATTTTCATTTTAAGTTGCTACATTGTAATTATAAATATTTGTTGAATACACTGTGCCATTTTGTAACCTATATGCACTGTGAAATGCTATCAAACTTTAAAAATATTCATCATTTCTTTTTGTTAGGAACGTTGAGCATCTTCTGCAACACCGATCATGAGATAAAACGTAACTGTGGTCAGCCACAGCTAGCGGTTATTCTGCTGTACCAGACCATCACATCATTTTCCCAATTGCCCTGCAGATGAAGGGACAAAGTACAATGATATATGTATGATAATGTCATAATGGAGTCCATTATGTGTATGCTTATTTAAAAGATAAAAATAAGTTATTCTAAAAATATAAAAAATGTTATTTTTCAACCAATTGTATTATGTTTTAGTTTGCTTCATTTTTATTGTTTTGATTTTTTGTAGACAGTGTTTCATATAGTCTAAGACGGCTTTGAGCTCAGGATATAACCAAGCATGGCCTAGAACTCTGATCCTCCTGCCTCTGCCTCCTACCTGTTGGGAACACAGTTGTGAGTCACTATCCCTTGCTGCATCCTGTAGCAATAAACCATCCTTCCTCTACTTGTTTCTGATAATAGTATTATAAGTATTAAGTAGAAAAGCATATTCTGACACACTAGGCAAAAACATCCTCTTCTGTGGACTTAAATGAAAAGAAAGGCGTAGGATAGGAATTCATTAATTCATCTATTCATTTATTATTTGGGAGATTTTTTTTGAGAGAGGAATGTTTTATTTTTCCCTTTTATCTCTGACCCAAAGGTAATAGAGAGAAACTTACTGTAGAAGCAAATTATGTGGATGTGATGAAGAAAATGATTTAAAAGAAAAGAGATGGGACATGAAAGAGAAGGAACCAGGGACAGGAAAGGGAGAAGCAGATGGATAGGGAGGGAAAGAGGGAGAGGGATAAATATTTGAAGTGCTCTTGAGTTTACTCAGAGCATCAAGGAACACACAGAGAGCTGGAAAGGTGTGTTCAGGTGTATGCTAAGAGTGATGTGTAGCTAAGAAGCCCCCAAAGGAAAATCTGGTCTGTGCTTCACATTCATAGCAGACCTCAGATGAAAACCATTGTCTTAGTTAGGCTTTTATAGCTGTGAAGAGACACCATGACCATGGCAACTCTTACAAAGATAACATTTAATTGGAGTGGCTCACTCACAGTTTCAGAAGTTCAGTCCATTATTATCCTGAGGCAGATGGTGGTGGTTTTCAGGCAGATGTGGTGCTGGAGCTGGGAGTTCTACATCTTTCAGTCAATAGGAAGTCAACTGACACACTGGGTGGTATCCTGAGTGTAGGAAACCTCAAAACCCACCCCCACAGTGACACGTTTCCTCCAACAAGGCCACACCCACTCCAACAAAGCCACATCTCCTAATGGCGCCACTCCCTATGAGATTATGGAGGCCAATTTACATTCAAACTATCACAACAGTGTTCTAACTTTTAAGTGAAGTAAGTTTATAAAACCATGTATGTCGATTTTTATGAATGTGTTTTTCAAATATTTTATTTCATTCAGTGTAATGTTGTAAATACACCTCATTTTCATTCCAGTTGATAAATGTTCACCATTTTTTCTATATAGTAAAAGTATCAGAAAGTGGAATAGTCCCAGACTCTCATAATTTCTGAAAGGCTCTGGCTATGAGAGCTATTCATCTTACCGAAAGCATGCTGACATAATTGATGCCAATACCACTTCCTCCCCTTTCATAGGCTGGAAGCAGTTTTCAATAGTTCATTATAGAAGAGGAACCACTCCTCTGTCTAGTAATGAATGTATCTGATTCTATTCTGTTCTCCCCATCCCATTATCCTATTTCTGAAAGTCTACTCCTATGCCCTCAAGCTTTCTTAGCAAGTGTATTTCACAAGAAGCTTTTCGGCCTGAGACACAGTCTTTCCACTCACTCTACACATGAGCTATGTTTTACCTGTACAGTCTCTGGTATTCATTCAATTATATATAATCATTACAAGCCAAGCAGTATTCTCAGTTGTGTGTGTTAGGTAGTAAATAAAAAAAAATATATAAACCTTCTATGCTAGTGGCTCTTACAACTTAAACATTTTATTAATGTTATTCATTCAGATAGAACATGAATATTTGTTATTAGTTTGCTGACAGTAGATTTTGCAAAGTTATTAAAAATAAGAAGGGATGATGGAGATTTCTGCCAGCCTTCATAATGAGCTAAGTTTAGAAAAAGAGTGTATGTAGAAATGGTTTTGTGTGGTAAGGTCGTGAACAATCCTAAAACTAAGAATTATTTAGGCGAGATTTGCTAATTCAAGTGAGCTATCAAATTTCTTTGCACAACTATTCTCTTCAGGGTGCAATTTTTTTGTTAGTATCAGGGAAAAGGAATATAAACTCTAATGCAATATTTCAGGATTTTTTTTTCAATTTTGGAAGCTGAGTTGCAAAATATATAACTTCCTCCCAAGGCAGAGCTCTGCTTTCCCAAAGAGACACTTAGGCAGGGTGTTGGCTTGGGTGTTGAACACTAAATAGTCAAGCTGGCTTTGAAGTCTCATGCTGCCCCCCAACACGTTTGTTTTCTCAGAATCTATTTAGCCCAGCAGGGCATGGTATGAAGGTACTGAGAGCCAAGCTGCTACCCAGCAATCTAGGATGCTTGCCATGACTTCCTTAATTACCTCAGTGGTGCATATGGCTGAGCGTTTACTGTGTGTGCAGAAGCTGTGGCATATACACATAAGAGTAAGTTTATGGCTAGACCTACATTTTACCCCCAGAGAGCTAGGTAGAGACACGATAGGGGAGAAAGAAATAGAAGAACACCCATATTAAAGGTAAATATCAGTCACCAATAGATGTGATGAGATGTTCACATAGAATATACAGACATGGTCTGATTCTGTAGCAGTGTGTCTTATTTGTATAGTTATTTAGGATTTATTCACCAGTTTATTCATTTTGAAACAAGTCTTGTATGTAGCCCAATCAGGCATTGAAACTGTGATATAGCTCAGTCTGACTTGAATTCATGATCCTTGGCCTTCTTGGTCACTGCTACTCCTGGCAGCTACGTTCAACAAAATACCTCTCCCAACAGAGCACTATCATCACCCCACTATCTTTTTCCCTTGCTAGTCAGAAGGGTATGTGGACAATGAGTCTATTTCCTAGCCTCCCCTGGGCCTAAAACTAGATGAATGGTTAGTTCTTGATAATGAATGATAAATAAAATTGATAAGTACAAGTTGTAATCTCATCCTTATGAGATTTTTGTCTTTTGCTTTCCCTCTCTCTTTCTCCTAGTATGGATTATGGTAAAGAGGGACAAGGCTACCTTTTCCACTAGAATAATGAAGGCTAATATCCTGGAAGACAGAGGCACAAACAGTGGCATTTGTGTCTTTCTATATCTGTTCTTATCTCTATGTGTACAAGTGGGATGCAATGCCTGTTATTTACAGATTGTTGCATTAGTTATACTCCCTACAGATATTAAAATATGCATGTTCTTTATGAAAAATCAATTCTCCTAATAAACATTTTATGAACTTTTTAATTTTGTAGGACAAAAGTAGCTATTAAGCGTCCTGCCCTGGTGAAATATACTTTCAAAATATTGTCTGTAATCATTTAGTAATGGGCTTTATTCAGATCCTGTTTCTTCTGACAAATTGTGATATGGGCTTTCTTAAGTTTGTGTTCACATTTAGAATCCTAACATATTCAAGATGCCCTGCCCTCGAGTAGTTATGCAACAAAAATGGACTTTGGGTTTGTTGTTGTTTTTGGGCTTTTTGTTTCATTTTGATACTTTTTTGGTCTTATTGTTTTGTTTTAATTTTTCTTTTTTGTTGTTGTTGTCTTTTGAAAAAGAGAAAGATGGATGAATATGAAGGTGCAGAGGACCTGGGAAGAATTTAGGAGGGAAAATATCAAAACAAGTTGTATGAAAAGATTTTTTTTAAATAATTAAATTATAAAATTGTCAAGATCTCTTTTTATGTCTAAACAGTGCTTCTTTCTTTCTGGCCTGGTGACCAATACTGACTTGTCTCTTCATTTTTCTATTTATAGAATGTGGGAGATTTGCTATTCCCTGTGTTTTAATTACTTGACAATAGATTTTTTCTGTGAGTATGTATCAGCTTATATTTCTGGTGAACAAAATTTCATGTGCCTGGACCATTACAGTAGCTGTTTATAGGACATTTATTTCCCAGATATAGATGTGTCAATCAGAATGTATGACAGATGGAAGTCTACAAATGTTAGTGTCCAATCTCCTTCATGTACAACCTACCAGTGTAGCAACTGACCAGCAACATCCTTCCCACACTTAACCAATAAAAATTGTTCTGTTGGTTTAAACTTTGGAATATGATCTATACTGCCCCCCCCCAAAAAAAAACCTTCAAATGTCTCTTAAATTTTCTTTGATCTAGTCTTGTTAGTATTAACTAATGGTGTATAGTGAAAAGCAATTATTGGAGACTGTCCAATAGACAGGGTTGTCACAGATGCTATTTTTTATTATTATTTTCTCAGAGGAATTAAATCAGTTAACATGACTGGGTTCGTTGCTATAAGATGGACATACTGTATAGTGAGAAAAAATAATTCATATGTGCACCAATGACAGAGATGCTGTGGAAAACCTTGGACTTGCATATTTATTCCCTTATTTAATTTATGGCCAGTGTTGATGTTTTTCTTTTCTTTATATTTACTGAAATGTTCACTTAAATGTAGATTCTTTTTAAACTCTTTCTTGTCCTTGTCCTCAATCTTCCAAGGAGAGAGTACAGATGGTATTTTAAGACCCAAAGAAGTAAAGCTCTAAGAAGTCTAGAACTGAATTCTTGAATATGTATTCTTTATGGATATGCACTTATTTCCACTTAAATTTGAATAGTTAAACCCTAGTAAAATTTAAAAAAAAATAGTTCTTTAGTTGCCTTGGCTAATTCTTCAGAGTTGTCCTCTGACCTCTACATATGCACCTTGGCATGGGTGTATCCACATTCATTTGCACACCATTCACACCTGAAAATGAAATAACAATAAGTGAAATTAAAATTGTAAGATAATTTTAAAGTTCAGATAATTTTATCCCTTTAGTGTGCCAATCTGGATAATAAAGAAACTATTATCTAATGTTAACATAAGGGCAGTAATGGGGTGAGATTTACACTGCCAAAACATCTATGGTCTCAGCAATATAAATCAGTTTCCAGCTTGATTTCTGCCTAGACTCGGGGCCTGTCCCAAAACATAGAGTTGTCAACCTCTGTCTCCTTTACAGTTGCCATCAATAAATCAGTAATGTTATTGAGAACAGAAAAGCTAACCAATATAGGAGTATGGACACAATAAAAATAGGAGGAGGTGACCCAAGGTATCTACAAGGTGAGAGCCATAAAAAGCAAAAGAAGTGATTTAGTATAAACAATACAAACCATGACATGTAAGTCATGGGAGCATTACATACACTAACAATAAAACATGAATGGGGGCTTCTTTGTATTTGAGGGAAACAGCTTTCTGTTTGTACAGTATACATAAACTACAAAATTCAAGCTTTTTTTTCTTAGTTATACATGTTAACAATGAAAGCAATTTACATGAGAATTTTGCATCTAACATTTAACATTATATAAAGGAAAGAATGATTGATTTAATGTTTTGATGAGTTCCTGTTGAAGAAAGAGTAATTTTAACGAACAGTGGATTGTACAGAAGTTAACTGAAATCTTGTATTTGTTTGTCCTCTATGTAAGCCCATATTTCAAATAAACTTAATGTGGTTTAAATTGATACACCTTTTGTTTTCTACTTTCATTTATTGATTGAAAAATTTCATATATGTATGTATACAATGTGCTTTGACCCAGTCTGTCTTCCATTTTTTTCACTTCAATACTTCCCCTTTCATCCTCCACCACTTTTGCCTTCCAACTTCATGCACTCTTGAAAACCAATAACCTGATTCTCTTTAGTGCTGGTTGGATGTCTGTGACTGTGGGACCATCTACAGGTGAAAGCGTAGTGGCCCAGTTCCTGACTTTCTGAAAAACATTGACTTCCTCTTCCAGTACTGTTGATTGACAGTAGCTCCGTGGATAGGAGTGGGACTTCTTGAGCTACTCCTGGATCCATGCTGAAATTTTGGCTGGCTCAATCTTGTGAAGGTCTTGTGCATACAGTGTAAGCTACTGTGGGTTCATGTGTACAAATGGCAATGGTATATATAACTACATTGACATGTCTAACAAATATTGTTTTACTGAAGATGTCTAGGCCCTCTGTTTCTCACTTTTTAAATTAATGGAATAAAAAATTTAAAATGAAAAAAAAAAAACCCAGCAACATAGTTCCCGAGATAGCTATAGAAAGATCTTTTTTGTTGTTATTGATGATGTTTATTTGTTTCATAAAAGGAGTCTAATCCTGTAGCCACAGTTGAATTCAGTGTCCCCTGACATCAGACTGACATTGAATTCAGTGTCCTCTGAGTGCTGAGACTAAGGGTGTGTACCAACACACTCAATTATCTAGCTTTTTCAGTTAACAAATAAATAATTTAAACTGAAAAAAAATGAAGAAGGTTTACAAGATAGTTACATAAATATTAAGACAGACAGACAGACAGACAGACAGACAGACAGACAGACACATACACACACAGAGAGAGGGGGGGAGACAGAGACAGAGACAGAGAGACAGAGAGAGCCACCCTTCAGCTCCCATGGAAAGGACTTTATCACATAATCACTAAGAACAACCGTCCTTCGAACCTGAACAGTATGAGTAGGAAGTTATTGGTATAGTTAACAATTCATATTCTAAATTCCAACATACTGATCTTAGCATCTATTTTTCCAATTAAGACCTAGCCATTCTTTCTGGATCATGGGACTTCCAAACAACTGGGAGATGACAAGCTGTGGAGTAATGTTATCATCCTATGGAAGACAAATGTACTGGGAGGTAAACAGAAAGATACCTTTAGTAGTCTCTATAGCTGGACCAAGCTTATTTGACATCTTCCTCTCTGTTACAGACTTCCCTTGTCTCAAAATGTTGATTTTGGAAAGCCTATAAGTTTTTTTCCTCTTCTTTTGAGGTATAAGTATTTTTACAGTTTCTGAACACTTTGCCAGGTTGAAAAATCCTCAGTAACCTTGGGCCATTTCCTTGAAATGCAGTCACTGAAGAAATTAGAGCCTCCTTCTCCTCGTCACTGTGGGGAAAGAGATGCCTATTTTTCTTCCTTGTTTCAAGCTATAAAATAATCCTTCATGTATTGTAGGTGAAGTCAGTTAGTACATAGATAATTTGAGATCCCAGAACACAGGTAAGTAAAATCTCTCCATGTTTGTCTTCACAGAGTTGTATGTGTATTGTTGGATGAGCTCTCTTATTTATTTGTAGCAGTGATAGAATAATAATGGTAATATATAATTCATAATTTTGCCCCAGTGAGCCTCCCTTAACAATACATAGCTGACAAAAGATGCTTGGTTTTGATTTCAAGACATATTATTTTGATAATTTTCAGTCAAGACACTGAAATATTGACTTTCTAATGCTCTTCCACTTTTCCTTGTTTTCTTTTTTTTTTTTTTTTTTTTTTTGGTTTTTCGAGACAGGGTTTCTCTGTGTAGCTTTGCGCCTTTCCTGGAGCTCACTTGGTAGCCCAGGCTGGCCTCGAACTCACAGAGATCCGCCTGGCTCTGCCTCCCGAGTGCTGGGATTAAAGGCGTGCGCCACCAACGCCCGGCTTTTTCCTTGTTTTCATATTAGAAATTCAAACTCTTATTCCTCAGTGCTCACTGTTGATAGGTTAATTGGTATTCTATATATTTTCCTATACTTCTATTACAAAACTCCTTCAAATATTAGCTAATAAAGATATAACTTTTGGGAGCTTTATTTTTCCCAGGTCATGGCTACAAATATAAAGCTAACCATCACTGATATGTCAGCCTCCATCTGAGCCTTCTGATCCAAATTCATCTACTATTCCTTACATTCTTCATAAGGTTGATTTCTTCCTTTGTGTTCACCTAAGCACTTCCATTTTCTTTAATCACTATTTCAACATTCAATCTTATTACAAATGAATCTTGATGCCTGGGATGACAGCACACACTTCTAATCCCAGCTCTCACGAAGATGATGTAGGAGAATATTAAGTTTGAAGCCAGCCCAGTTGGATGCTAATAGGAAGATTCTGAAACGAAAAGAAAAATGAAGGAGGGAGTGAAACAGAGAAGGGAAACGAACGCAAAAACAAACAGACATTGGTACTTTGACTTTGTGTGAGATGAAAGCTCTGTTTATAGGACCAGAGACACTGCAAGGGTGACTCCTTCACAATGCACTCAGTCGTATGATTTGCAGATCTTGTGAAACTTCACTCAGATCTTTTTTAGGCTGTTAGTCACTGCATCACTCTTGTTGCTGTAGCTTCGCTTTGGATAACATTTGAATGTGTCCCTCAAAGGTTCATGCATTGAGACATAATGTTTATAAAAGAAAGGGTAAACTTAATGCACATCTAGTTTTAGAGGCTGGGACTTTGGGAGGGGATTAGGATTTGACAAAGCCATCATTGGGTGAAGCTCCCCCGACTTCATCCTGGTAAACTAGCAAATAGAGCAAGATGTTAGAGGATTCCCAGGTGTGTTGCTCATCACTTGCTGTGTTTTGCTCTGCACTGCCTGAAGATGGCGCTATCAAAAAGGTATTGTAGATGTGTATCCTTAACCTCCAGATGGGGGAGCTATACAAAGTACCTTATAGGTTACCAAGTCCATGGCATTATACTATCAGAAACAGAAAAGGGGATAATATACTAATTTTCCTTGGAGAACTACAAATCATTTTATTAATAGTATTCATATAGCCATGGATAATACTATTAGTGCTTGGTATCATTTGTGCTAGCAAAGGAAGGTGGCTTACTATAGTAAGTACTTTGTGATGCTGCTGTGTGGACCAGTACACAAGAAGACCAGATTAAATATGTGGTTAATTGAGGAAGATCCATGTGGACCTTGGGATGTGTGTTGTGTTCCAACTCTGTCCATGTAGGCTTCTAGTTTCTGTGTATTACCCGAAACAATAGTGATTTGTGGTAAAGAACTATAGTGGAGTTGATTGGTGAGTCCTGTCCAGTGTCCTTATAGTTAATATGTGGCCATCATCTTAGATGGTAGCTTATTGTATAAAGGAAAAATTAAAAATAAAACTTTATTTAGAGAATTTTTTGTTTAGGTTCTTTTGATTAATGAGTTTCCAGCTTTGCTCTTGGCTTAAAAAAAAAAGATTGAGAAGGAATAAAGGAAGGGAATGAAAGTCATGAGAATGAAAGATACAGAAGAAAAATATTAAGAAAACAAAGCCCGTTGATAGCTTCATTTGTAGCTGCCCCCATTGCTGGCAAAGCCTTGGTATTTTCACACTATGTCACCATTTATTTAATGAGAATTGTGAGTGACCATGAGAACCTTTCAAAGCTATGTCTCAACAACAAATAACACACAGACATAGTCTAATAGTGATCACCAGATACTTTGTTTCCAGCTTTATTCAATGACTGCTACTTTTCCAGCGGCAACTGTAACCCCTGATTTATTTTCTATGACTTAGGAAAAGATCCCCAACATCAAGATGTATTTACGTGTTGGCAATAGCCAATACAAAGAACATGCCTGCTCCTTTCCAACTACCCTCCAGATGAAATCTTGTAAACATGAATCTCTTTTCTCTTAAGGTTTCAAACACATCTGGATCTCACCAGGTCTGGAAAGATGGCTCCATTGCTGCACCAGAAGGAATAAACCTAACTTTGGTGGTTCCACCTCAGATGCACTTTCTAGTGGCTTTTAGCTTTGCCATGGATCAAATACCACTCTATCACAGAACTTGAGGCAGATTGTTAATTCATTCATTTTTGGTCACATGACCATTTAGGGACAAAAAAAATAAGCACAGGGATTCTGGCTCATACATTCATATTCTCACATGTATGCTGTACTTAAATGATAGGCTGTGAGAAAGTAGCCAAACCAAAGAATATCTATTCAAGCTGCCACTAATGAAACCAGGAAGCCAACAGCATGCCACACTTTACTAAAAAAGATGTACAAAAGAGATGCCTGGTAGTTTCTATATACCTGGATTTAGAAGAGTTCAGCCATTTATCTAAATATTTATGATCACATATCTTATTCAAGGATTTACAATTCCTTCCATTGCCTGAGGTCTAAACAAAGCTGTAAATGTAAAGGAAGTTGCTTTTACTATGGTATGAATATACTTTTTCTAATCCTTTCCTCTTTTCTGTTCATGAGAATGTTATTTATGGAAGAATTGTTTGGCTCTAACTTAGTAATAGAAGAGAAGAAAAAGTAGGAAGGGGAATCAAAGACTGGCAAAAAGTGAATCTGAGTGATGTCGAGTCAATTTACAGGAACTACACAGAGTTACTGTGTGCTCAGGAGAAATCTGCAAAGCAGCTGACAAGAAGCATTTCATCTTCATTTTTAATATGAATTTCCCACTCTGCCTTATTGCTTTTCTGCTTTATGAATTCTCTTTCTTGTAATTTCTCCAGATATGTGATGATTATATTCTAGAATAAACATCCTTTGCCTGTGGAATACACAAAATATAGTATGCCATACTTAGGGTCAGACCATTGATTAAAAATGAAAGGTAATTACAGTTATGCAATGGAATATATATTTGCTTTTGGGTATTTTTTCTTTGAGTAAATTATAGCTCTTTGCTGTATTTTTGTAGTCCTGTGGGCAAAGCAATTAGTGATTTGAACTACCAAATCTGTTTGGAAATAATGGAGCTTATATAGTCTTGTGCTATAATTGCTTTTCTGGGCCCCTCCCCATCTCCCTGCCTCCCCCTCATCACTTACCCACATTTAATCCTGTTTAAATAGCAACATGTCAAACATGTCTGCTAATCAGCTGGCTTAGTATCCCATGGAGATTTCTGCAGTTTTAAGCACTACATTTCACTATGTAAGGATTTTTCCCAAATATTGACTTTTGGTTTTCAAGGTTACTGATGATGTGTTCCAGGACATTAATCATTCTAACCACCTCAACAAAGAAGCTCATTAAAAAGACAAATACATTTATCAAGCAAATCATCAAGAAGATTATATACTTTCTACCCATAACAGATTATAGCTGAATAAATGACTTGAGTACTTTATAATTAAACATGCAGAACCCTTAATATGTTAATACTCAGATCCTTCATTGAGGAATAGGATGGTCTGGGTTTTCTAACACATAATTAATATAGCACAATTTAGTTGCAATTATGTGAGTTAAAACAGGACTAGTGCTGTGAGTATACAAACTCAATAAGGTTTTAATATTGTGATCAAGCCTAAATGCAAGGACATTAGAAACTGAAATGTCTGGAAGTTTGAGATTTCTGCAGAACATGTATCTGGATTTTTGGTATCTAACAAACACACGGTCTCTGGCTTTGAAATAAAGCTTCAGGTGGAAGAGACACAGCTAACCAGACCTTCGCCCTCAGGCTTCACTGAAGCTGGAATGATTATTTCTTTTGTCAGCCAAAATAATACTTTAAAGGTTCAGGAAAGGCCTGAGGGGTCAGTTTCCTCTCCGGGTCCAATCTCATCTCTTGTTCTATCTCTCACCCACCTACCTCACACAGATCTGACTTTTGCTCCAGAAATTTTGCAGTCCTATCTCCAGGTCTCCAAATTAATGGTCACAGATAACCTTGAATTGCAGCCCTCCGGCAGGGGAGATATCTCAGCAAGTTCATATTTCATTAAATATCTGATTTTAGGCTCAAAGTAAGTATACTGCTTTCTAGTAGAGCCTTACTAAAACATGTGCAAAAAAGCTAACATCCTCAACTATCAAAATAAATAAATAAATAATAAAAAAAACACTGCTATCAGATCTCTCTACTGAATCCAAAGGCTAATGGGCTACAGAGTCATTAAAATTTGTGTCACTATCTAAAACACACTTGCTGACTTCAGTGAGTGGTATCAAAGTAAAAATTGCATCAAAGTTATGTGTGCAAGGAAGAGTCTATTCGATGTTCTTCCAATGGAGAAAAGAAGACTGATGGTGGACATAGTTTAGGCAAAACAGTGACTTTAAGAACTGGCAGTGGAGGGTGGAAGATGGATGTCACATGTTGTCTGTGTGTGACAGCTGGCCTTACCTAAGGGAAGAGTATACTTTATCTTTACATCAAGTGCTCCTGTGTTTTGAGCTCATTATGTTCTGCTCTAAATTACTGCTGATTACATAAAACAGTGATTATTTTAGACTATGTCTTGCCTTCAGTGAGTTCATTTTACAAGCAGCGTTGGACTCTATTTTGAAGATGGTAGATCACTGTTCACCTGAGAGGACACATGAATGCCACCATCTGTCTTTCACCAACCATACAGCACAGACTAGTAAATAACTTATTTGGGACATTATTCTGTAAATTTCTTGAGGTGAATTGGTAATCTAGGGGTATATGGAAGAGGATACTAACATCATATCAGGAAAACCATGCCCAAGAATTTATTGGACACATTGGGATAAAAATGAAATTAACTCACTCACTTAGATACCATAAAGATGTAGAGAGCTAGCCTCACCATGGTGATCGACCTTACTAATTCTGTCATTTGATTACCATGCATGTGTCAAGGAACATTGATTGTCCCAGGGGATTCAGCTTGGTCCCCACTATTGAAGTTGCATAGTCAGCTTCTGTCAGCCAGTCCTCCTCTTTGTCCATCTCAACACACTCTCCATGCTTCCACCTGCTCCTGCATCTTGATGAGGTCATGCCCTTTTCCTTGCATCTTGCCTCATGTCTAGAGTTTTGCTTAAACCTATTGCCCAAGCAGTTGTGTTCTTCATCTTCTTCCCTGAAGCTTGCCTTAGTTCCCCGTCTTTCAAATACACATTCTATATATATTTTTATCGCCCACTTCTCAACCCTCTTTAACTTTTCTGGGACCATTTAGCCTTTTTAGAAGCAAAGAGTGTAGCTGGAGGGCTTCTCTCCAGGTTCCCCAAGCCCCACAGTCCCATAATCCACTTATAAAATAATCACTCAGATGCTTATATCACTTGCAAACTGTATGGCTGTGGCAGGCTTCTTGCTAACCGTTCTTTTATCTTAAATTAACCATTTCCATAAATCTATACC